TTTGCATAGTCAATGGAACACAATTAAACATCTTTCTTGTATTCTGTGTTTGAGCCACGATCCATCTGACACCAACAATTACCCTGTTTCCCTGAAAGTAAGACATCCCCTGAAAATAAGACCTACTTGCAGTTTTGCCTCTCACTAAAATATAAGGCATTCGCCCCCCAAATAAGACCTCCCAGAAAATAAGCCCCCCTGAAGCTACCATAACCCTGGACTCTGAACCTTAGCGGCGGGGTGCTGCCACGCAGCTAACTGTTGGCCACAGCACAGCCAGAGCAGACAGGAAGTTCGAGGTCTCTTTTAATAAAACAATAAATGTGTACTGTATTCTTCTTCATGGAAAAATAAGACATCTCCTGCAAATAAGAACTAGCGCATCTTTGGGAGCAAAAATTAATACAAGACACTCTTATTTTTGGGGAAACAGGGTATATCCCTTGTTCCACGTCCTCTTCTGAATCCAGCCTGAATGTCTGGCAGTTCCCTGTCAATATACTGCTTCTATTAGTTGTTGGATGAGCTTAAGCAAAATTTTACTTGTATGCGATATCAATATCACTCTATAGTTTGCTAATTCTGTTGGGTCACTTTTCTTGGAATGTATACATTTATGGATCTCTTCCCATCAGTTGGCCAAGTAGCTGTCTCTCTCTATATTTACATACAGTTATATATATGTATATTTATAAATATATAAAACTATAAATATAAAGTTTTATATTGATATATAACTATATAACTATATAAAACTGAACAAAAACCAAACTCCCTGCCATTGAGTGAATGTTGACTTATAGCAAACCCCTGTGGCTTTCTAAGACTTTAACTCTTTATGGGACCAGAAAGACTGTTTATGGGGACTAGAAAGCACTGTATGTCTTCTGCGGAGTTGCTGGTAGTTTCAAACTGTCAATCATGTTGATCGCAGCCCAGTGTGTAACTACTGTACCACTAAGGCTCCCTACATAAACACATATGGTTATATACATAAATGCATATGTTTACACATATATGCCCACATATATGTTTATATATAACCATATGTGTGTGCTTATACATAGACATAGACACATATAACCTTATATATTTATATATGACCACATATGTTTATATAACTGCACACATATGAACATATGTTTATATACACATATAAAAAACATATGGTTATGTATATGACCACACATGCATAGTTATATAGATGTATAGCTATATAAAAATATATGGTTATATACATGCATATATAACCATATTGGTACATGCAGTAATATATAAACATATTATAGTTATATATATATATATGTATATGAAACCATATAGATATGGTTGTCTATCCATATTGTGTCATCTTTATATATATATAACCATATATGGTTTTGTATTTGACTATGTTTTTATATGTAACCATATATGTTTGTACATATGTATATATAATAGTAATAAGAAATGAGAAATTTTAATAAAATCATATATGATCTATAATTTCATTTATATAAAGTTAAAAAACAGGAAGAAATAATTTATGATAAAAGTGAGAATGATAGTTACCTTGCAGTAGGAGTTGACTAGGAAAGGGTCCTAGGCCGTCTTCAAGGGTGCTGGAAATGCTCTATATTATTCCTAAAGTTCATAGAGTGGTTAAAAATTAATATTCCATGTACATATGCAAATATATTTATATATGAGGATGGGGAAATAGATCTACGTACCTACATTTATCGGTTTAGTATTAAGGTAGCAGAAGGACATTGGGCCTCCATTCAAATACTCCCTCAATGCTAGAATACTTTCTTCTATTAAATTGGCATTCTATGATGCTCACCTTCCCAATAAAAATGCTGAAGACAAAGTGGGTGAATAAGCAAATGCAAAGAAAGCTGATGGTGCCCAGCTATCAAAAGATATAGCGTCTGGGGTCTTAAAAGCTTGAAGGTAAACAAGTGGCCATCTAGCTCAGAAGCAACAAAGCCCACATGGAAGAACACATCAGCCTGTCTGATCACGAGGTGCCGAAGGGATCAGTTACCAGGCATCAAAGAACAAAAAATCCTATCATTGTGTGCTCATCTCCATGATAACGATCGCTGAAGACAAATGGCTACATAAGCAAATGTGGTGAAGAAAGCTGATGGTGCCCGGCTATCAAAAGGTATAGCGTCTGGGGTCTTAAAGGCTTGAAGGTAAACAAGTGGCCATCTAGCTCAGAAGCAACAAAGCCCACATGGGCGAAGCATACCAGCCTGTGCGACCATGAGGTGTCAAAGGGATGAAGTATCAGGCATCATCAGAACAAAAAATCTTACCATAGTGAATGATGGGGAAAGTGCGGAGTGGAGACCCAAAGCCCATTTGTAGGCCACTGGAGATCCCCTTGCAGAGGGGTCTCAGGGAGGAGACAAGCCAGTCAGGGTGCGATGTAGCAACGATGAAAAATACAACTTTCCTCTAGTTCCTAAATGCTTCCTCCCTTCCCCACCATTATGATCCGAATTCTACCTTGCAAGTCAGGCTAGAGCAGAAGATGTACACTGGTACAGATAGGAACTGGAAACACAGGGAATCCAGGGTGGATGATCCCTTCAGAACCAGTGGTGTGAGTGGCGTTACTGGGAGGGTAGAGGGAGAGTGGGTTGGAAAGAGGGAACCGATTACAAGGAACTATATGTGACCTCCTCCCTGGGGGATGGACAGCAGAAAAGTGTGTGAAGGGAGACGTCGGACAGGGCAAGATATGACAAGACAATAATTTATAAATTATCAAGGGCTCATGAGGGAGGGGGCTGGGAGGGAGGAGAAAAAAACGAGGACCTGATGCCGGTGGCTTAAGTGGAGAGCAAGTGTTTTGAGCATGATAAGGGCAATGAATGTACAGATGTGCTTTACAGAATTGATATACTGTATGTATGGATTGTGATAAGAATTGTATGAGCCCCTAATAAAATGATTTTAAAAAATTAATATTCCCTTTTTGAGTTCATAGGCTAATAAAATGTTTTAATGGAGAAGGAATGGAGAGAGAGGAATTAAAAATAAGAAAGAGGGAAAATCAAGAAAGGAATAGAGAAAGATAGAGAAAAGGACATTGAGAGATTGTAGCTGTGGGCAGTATTTCCCAAAGCGTCTTCTAGGACATTAGACCCTCTATTGTCCTTATCCAGAGAGACTACAGAACTTTTCAAAGCCTTTAGGGGGATTGTGGCTGGTTGGGAAGACCTTGCATACAGCCTTTCCTGCATTTATTTGGCCTGAGGACTTTTTTATTAGAAAAGATCTTCCAGGCTTTCTGTCCTTCAAGGCTCCAGTTTAAGGAATGCTCTTTGAAAGATGAGCATCAGCTGAAAATATTTTCTCTGGGGCTCTTTATTACATGTAATTGTGGTTGATTGAATAGTAATGATAACAAAAACTTACTGCTACAAAGTCCAAGCCAAATCATAGTGACCCAGTCGAATAGGGTTGGCGTGCCCGTGTGAGTTTCTGAGACCGTAGCTGCACATGGGAGTAGAAAGCCCTGTCTTTCTCCCGTAAACCTGACTGGTGATTTCAGACTTTGCAGATTGCAGTCTGATGAGTAACGACTGTGCCACCAGGCCTTCTGATTTAATGTAAGAAGACACTAAATTAATGAATACTTCCTTTCAAATTTTTTCAAACCTAATGCTAGAAAGATATTTACTTGTCTTTCATTGACTATGCCAAGGTATTCAGCTGTGTGGATCAGAACAAACTATGAATAACTTTGAGAAGAATGGGAATTCCAGAACACTTCATTGTGCCCTTGTGAAACTTGTACATGGATCAAGAGGAAGCTGTGCAAACAAGGGAATATGGCATGGTTTAAAATCAGGAAAGGTATATGGCAGGGCTGTATCTTGGCACCATACTTATTCAATCTGTATGCTGAGCAAATAATCAGAGAAACTGATTTATATGAGGAAGAATGAGGCATCGAGTTTGCAGGAAGACTTATTAAAAGCCTGTGAGTACAAATGACACAACCTTGCTTGCTGAAAGTGAGGAGGACACGAAGCACCAGGACTACAGCCTTATGTACACAGCCTCAATATAAAGACAAAATCCGTATACTTGAACCAGTAGGAAACATCATGATAAACAGAGAAAATGTTGAAGTTGTCAAGGATTTTGTCTTACTAGGATCCATAATCAATGCTCGTGGAAGCAGCAGTCAAGAGATCAAAAGACATATTGCATCCAGCAATTCTGCTGCACAAGGTCTCTTTAGAGTACTGAATAACAAGTATATTACTTTCAGGGCTATTCTCCATCGCATTATATGCATGTGAAAGTTTGACAATGAATAAGGAAAACTGTAGAAGAATTAGTGCATTTGAATTGTGGTGCTGGAGAAGAATATTGAAAGTACCATGGACTGCTAAAAGGACAAACCAATCTGGGAAGAAGTTTGGCCAGAGTGCTCCTTAGCGACAAGGATAGGGAGACTTTATCTTACATGCTTTGGACATGTTGTCAGGAGAGGCCAGTCCCTAGAGAAGGACATGGGATGTATGGTAAAGTAGAGGGGCAGAGAAAAAGAAGGACACCCTCCAAAAGGTGGCTGCCCAGTGGCTAAACAATGGGCTTGGGCTCAGGAACAACTGTGCGGATGGCGCGTGATAGTGCAGTGTTTCCTTCTGTTGTCCATAAGGAAAGTATGGTTTGGAACTGACTTCACAGAACCTAACAATAACAACATTGGAGAAATTTTAAAGGCCCTTTGCTGGAAATAGTACAGTTACAATTTTCCCTAGAGAGAAATTCTTAGAAATTTTATTTTCCTGTTGAGAAGCATGTCAGCTGGTTTGCAGTGATAAACATCACAACTTATTTTCAAGGCAAAATGTGTTGCTCCAGCACTCCAAAGGAACAGGTTCACTCTAATCACATGAACATTGAGTTAAGGTCAAATTTTGCCAATAGTGTCATCTAACTGGCTTGTCATTTCATATGATTAATATACTGTTTTCACTTTTTACTAGGCAGGAATAAAAATGTCAGTACTCACATCTCCACGAGGAAAGACAGAAGTGGTTCATTGCCGAAGAACTGAATCCCAGGATATTTTTTGTATCAAAAACCTCATCAGAAAATTTACCCAGAAGCTGTTTGGGAATCTTAACATCATCTATCTTTTGTAAGTACAAAGTTAAGCCAATTCAAGAAGATGTATCACGTTTATTACTCATTAGGAAGGGAACATAGTCTTGTAACATTGTGGCAATTATGGTGAGGACATGGGGCACTTTCTACATAGTGAAACGATGTGTAGCAAGATAATCTGTCCTAATGAACTCCTGGGTCAGCCAAATATCGAACTCCTGTAACACTATGCAAATCAAAGGGGTTTCTTATGAGTTTTGGATCCAGGGGTTATAGTATCTTTAATCAGCAGCTGAAACCAAACCAGGGGGCAACTATGGAGCATATCATCAATTGCTCACATGTAAGTTCAGGATAAAGCTGGAGAAAGTAGAAACAAATCCACAGGAGCCAAAATACAACCATGAGCCTATCCCACCTGAATTTCAAGAACATCTCAAGAACAGATTTGCTGCATTGAATACTAATGACAGAAGACCCGATAAGTGTGGGAAGCCAGCAAACCCATCATTCATGAAGAAAGCAAAAGGCCATTTTAAGGACAGGAAAGAAAAAGAAAGGAATAAAGTGGATGTCATAAGAGACTCTAGTATAGCTGAAGCAAATGGAAGAAAGGATGAAGACAAGGAGCTGAATAGAAAATGACTGCTGAAATCCAATGAGATCTGCAAGGACCTAGAATTAGAAAGCCACAGGAACAGGTTCAGTATTTCTGAAACTGAAAAAAACTCAAGAAAAAAAATCAAGCCTCAAATTGAAATTTCGAAAGATTCTAGAGACAAAATATTGAATGATGCAGGAAGCATCAAGAGAAGATAGAAAGAATACAGTCACTGTATCAGTAAAAGCAGTCCATTTCAGGAGGTAGCATGTGGCAGAATGCACTGAATACATTAGCCAAAAGAAAGGCTCCAGGAGTTGATGAAATACTCATTGAAAAGTTTCAGAAAGTTAAAGAAGCACTGGAAGCACTCACTCATCGATGCCAGGAAATTTGGAGGACAGCTACTTGGCTAACTGACTGGAAGAGATCCATA